GGACTGCTGTGGCCGGCACCTGTGCGGCGGGAATGCTATGTGCTCCCGTGCGGCTCCTACTGGCTCTCCTCCCGGCCCCGCCTCCAGCGACGTCACCCTGTCACCCAGGGCTCTGCACCCCCAATCTAGTTTCCATCTCAGCGCCTACCCAAGCTTTCCGCAAACCCTCATGCAAAAGTTACGTGCATTCATTCAAAAAAGGAGAAAATTACAAGATGGAGGAACTTTGGTGCACCCTTACGGCTGATGAAGCTAATGCGTGTTAGCAAGTGGAATGATGAGACCACGGGGTAGACCTGCCTTTAAAAAACACCTGCAGGCCTGGGAAGATTCTCTCGGTCACTTCTGGACATTGTTTTATGTAAATCATATGTTATAGGCACACGACAGCTCTTCTGTCCTTCTGCATGGCTAGGAAGGCATTCCAGGAAACCATGCTCAGAGCACACACATGCCACAGCACACGCCACGGCACACGCCACGGCACACGCCACGGCACACGCCACGGCACAGACACCCATGAGCCACGGGCTAGTCCACAACACCCACTGTTGTCTAGACACACACCATGCGTATCGGCTACGAAAACACCATTTTCTGCTCCTTTAATCGGGGAGGATAAAGCTGCTGCTACCGTGTAAATAAAACTGTCGTTACTTCAAGTGAAATCAGCTGAACGTGGTGAGGGGCAGGCTGCCCGCGCGATCAGACCCGAGCGCTGGGCAGTCCGACTCGCGTGGCAGAGGCTGGGTACCTCATGCATCTCTCCAGGGCGTGTCACTGAGCCACGCCTTAGGCCAAGTTCATCTCCTATGGCCATGGATCTGTGCGGGGTGACACCTGTCACTCCAGGCCTCGCATAACCCCTGTGCTCCACGCCATGGAACAGCCTCGAGACGAGCGCAGCCGGCAGCCAGTCGCCATGCTGAGGAGCGCCGACGGCTGTACACGCTAGTCCCCCATGAACGTCACTTCAAAAATGGACGCTTTGTGACAGAACCACTCGTTTACGTCAACCCCAGAACAAACGGGACCGCCCACCTGGGGAGGTGGCACTGTTCCGACCCCGTCAGCAGCACGGGACGCCGACGGGACGCCGAGGCGACGGGCCGGTCAGCCCGAAAGAAAACGCAGGTGTCAACTCAACACAACTTTAATAGCCGATGGAAAGCCATGTCTTAACAACACCAAACATTTCTTCCTCACGGCAACCGTTAGCTACAAAGGACAGCGATTTCATATCCTTGGTCCGTAAAGAAGACACATTTATTTACATTCTCGGTGGCCGAGAAGAGGTCTGAAACGGGCACAGGTAGGATGATGTGCTTCCAAAGAGATCACGTGATCACCGCCCAGGACTTAAAGCTTCCGCTTTAATAACTTCATTTAGATCGTAAACACCAGAGTGCACACGCTTCTCATTAGAGACTCCAGGAACACAGAGCAGCTCTTCTCTGACGGGTCCTCCCACAGCGACCCCCCTGCCGCCAGGGACG